TGTTCAAATTTTTATACGAGATATTTTCTCTCTCTCTTGCTCCTTCTCTAATAGCTTAAATAATATGCATTTAATGGCACCTCAGGTATTATGTCCTTAGTTTGTGCTTTAAATTCTTTCAGTAAGACCCTATTTGTTATTTTTGGGCTGTTTTGACCTAAACAGTATTCACTTCTAGAAAAGGCCTTCACACAGTGGTTATGTTATATTATACACTTGTTTCTATGTAGATCATTATTGTTTATCCAGTAGACAAAGTGCACCCTCTAAACCGTCTCTTTTGTTTGTGTATAGTTTGTTGATGAAGCATCTTTGTCCATTTCAGCTGAAGTATTGTTTAATTTAAAGGGCCTTGCTATTCTTGCGTAGCCGGATGAATAAGATGAATAAATGACGAGGAAGGAAAACGCTGTTGTAAAATCAAACAGGCAACAGAGTGAAAACAGCTCCCACAGAGTAGTTCATGAGCTGCTGTGGATAACTATGATGCAATTGTGGTCAAAATTCATTTCCTTTGTGCTTTATCATACTAGTGTCTACCATGTTTTTGTTTCCTCTTTTGCCTTTTGCCTTCCATCTTCATTCTCTCAACCTCCTTTTTTCTTTCCTTGACTTCCTTCTCTTTTTGCAACCTCCCTTCTGAATGCATCGGTTCTTCTCTGCCTCCACCACTCCTACTGCTTTTCCCAAAATAACAGATTACATTAATATTTTATAAGGAAATTACTTGTGCATGTAGCACCTAACTCCATGTGACAGGTTAAGTGGGGCAGTGGCAGTGCTCACAGGAAGCTATTACATTTGAATGATGAACACACACATTGTATTTTAATATGGGTGGAAAGAGCATCTCTAAGGACACAAAGTCAGAGGAGGATAATGGGAAATGGCTAGCCTTTTTAGAATTGTTGTTTCATGTGTTTAACAATAAAAGTTTTAACACACCTAACTATGATTCAAACATAATATATTATGTGCAGTTTGAAGTCCAGGTAGAACCATGTCGAGGTTCTTCAGCCTGACAGGTTGTCTTGGGATTTGGTGGCTTGTATGACAGAAACAGTTACAGTGCCCTCTAAATTTACTAGATAAGGAAAAAAAGGCTATATATAAACTCAAAGCTACACAATACCTACATAAGCCTTTCATGACAATGGACACAGACCTACATAAACATTTATAAACACATATTCTACTGGGCGTCATTTGTCATAAAGACAAACGTCAACTTTGAGATGATAACATCAATCTATACTTGTCTTGGGAGCATACCAATATTTCAGATCTATAGCCTAGCACACCTCCATGTAGACCTTGTATTTTATCTTGTAATTTGCTTAATAAGTAGTCCTTTAACCAATTACAAAAGCTACAATAATGGTAATTTAGCATTAGCAGCCATATGCAGTGTCCAATGTTATGTTAGCAACAAGCTATCTGTGGTGGAGTTTTTCCACACTGGGTTTAGTAGGTCAAGATGAAACATGAATATTATTGGAGCAAATCATTAGGTTGTTATCTAGACAATAAACTGTTCAAAGACAAGGGGCAGACAGGTTATAAAACCAAGCTGTTGCCTAATGCCTGTAACTGTTAGCTAACCACGCAATCTCCACAATAGCAAATGAGATGTTGGCCCATTATGCCATTATGTAATTCGTTTATTTTTGCCAGCTGTTTGTTTTTTATTTCCTCCAAACATTTAATTTTTGCAAACAAACGTTGTACTGGTTTGATTAGTTTTTCACACTCTTTTTAAAAAGCAGCTTAACCTTTCTGTGTCTCAGAAATATTGCAAAATGTATTCCCATGCTTGTAAATGAGAATATGTTTTTCAAAGCACACTCCTCCTTAACATCAAAAGCCTTCTCTTACACATAAATAACTTTATAAAGTGAGAACTAATCACATGCCTTTTCTAAGAATGCCATTTTCCTTCTCTGTCATATTTTTGGTAGTAAGGTCTATCTTTAATAACCACTATGAGAAGTGAAGGCCATCTGCTTTGAAAAAAAAGCAAGTTTTGGGCTTTTGAACTAAGGTGGATAAATTGTTCACATTCTTCTTTCATACACCAACTACTCAAAGTGAAACGGATACCATACTTCCCTCCCTCCCTCAGTCCCTCATTCCCTCACATAAACAAAAGGCACAACTGCTGCTCAGTTACCCAGGAGCAAGAAATCGATTTGTGTTGTAATACTCAACAACTGTTTGTTCTCAGTCAGCTTTCACTGGTTTTCTGTTCTTAAAGTCTTTCTCTCTGATTTCTCTCTATCTGTATGAGACAGTGAAGGAGTGACTAAGAGAGATATGGGGGGGATGTTATTTAAGCAGGGTTTCAGAACAGAAAGATAAGAATGGCAAAATGCAACATCACATTGCTTGAAATACAGTATCTGTCACAATAATTGTTGCAAATTGTAACAGTAAATGAATAAGATAGTGACATAATTGACTGACATTGAATAATTCTTTTTTTAGGATATATGCAGCTGTTCAGTGATCTAGAAGCACTGATGATACCCACATTTCTGAAACACAGAAATGTTATTTCTGTCTATGACACTGGTCTGCATTCTTAAAAAAGATGCTTCAAGGGTTCTTTAGTAAAGAAAATGGTTCTATATAGACCCATGAACACTCAAAGGACCCTTTGTATGACTAAAGGGTTCTTTGCATTGTGAAATCGTTCTTCAGATTGATGGAGAATGTGTTGTATATGGTTCTATATAGAACCTTTTTGAAAGGGGTTCTATATAGTACCAAAATGGTTCTGCTATTGTTATGATGTAAAGCTTGTAACAGTATAAGAACACTTTTTGGTGTTATATAGAATCCTTTTCAACACTTTGATTATCCAGCTATCCAGTAAGTAGGAGTACTGAAGTTCCATAAGCCACCGCACCTACAAGGTAAATGGATCATTTATATGTGAAAACATTACACTATACATAACACCGTATATAAACAAATAGTGTTGCACCTACACCGATACAGTATCAGTATTGGCACCAATACTGTAACATAAAGAAACCAGTGTCCATGGAGCAAATTCTGTCAGGCACCCGTACTAGTGAGCGAAGCTTGTATGTGTGCCAGTAGATGGAGCTTAATTGAAGCAAGCAACATGTCGGCGGTGTGGTATTATTTCACGCTTTCATGCTCATTGCAAAATCTGTCATGTCAGTATTTCAAACGGCATGACCAGCAAGGATTTAAATAGATAAAATTTAAATAAGCATTTAAAACTCATTCTAATGTGAAGTTATCCAATTAGTAAATGCAATTTGTTCAGGCTTACTATGTCTTGTCTGTGACATAGAGCTAAATAATTAATAATTAAATAATGAATATAATTAGTTAAAAAATGTAAATTTTAAAAAGGCATAAACATGAGGATTTCTAGGTTAAGAATTGGTACTGGTGCATCCCTATGAATAATCCTTTCTCTATTTTTGACCTAACACTATAAATTAAATCCCAAGAAATAAACATATGTGACTTTTTGTAGGATCAGAGTTATTTTTATAGTATTTGATTTTCTAGGAGCACATCACTTCTTGGTTCATCAACTCTCTCACTTCCCTCTGTGTGTATGCATCTAATTTTGTTTTGCACCCATCTTTATCTGTGTTCTTGCCAATTCCTAATGAGACCAACAAACAATTAAAGCTAATTGGAGGTGCATGACTAGTCTATCATTAACTAGCCTATTTCTGTAACACCAAGGGGCTGAAAACATTCACCTCTCACACATCACCATCTTTTTCAGCCTTTCAGGTTACTGTATCTGCTCGTACTGAGTTAGAGTAGATGTACTTGTAAATGTAAGTGTATATATAGAGACATTCAATTGTAGGCACAAGTGTGGATCAGTCTGGGTGGGTAGCATGGCATCTCCCCCATCACTCAGCACAAAGCCAGCCAATGTGGGCATCTACTCCGAGCATGTTACGTTACTGGCAGATTGAAAATATGTGATGGCTGGCTTGACATGTCTCAGAGCGAGCATGTGCTAGCCTTCACTCTCTCAGCTTGGTAGCCTCGTACGATGGAGGTGACTTATCAGGTGGGAATTGGCCACCACTAAATTTGGGGGAAACCTGGTAAAAATTACATAACTTATAAACTATAAATGTGAAACTATGGAAAAAAATAAAATGCCAAAAAGCTTATTTGGAGCAATACCATAAAGGAACCAGATGCTTCCTTTCATGTGAGAGTGTGAAGCCCTTAAGAATCAAACTTGTATTATATTCATCTTGTAAATACTTACGAGTAATCAGTGTTCAATGTAAATTGTAAACAAAATGAAAAAATGAAAAATAAGCATTCACGTGTAATATGGCTGGGATTATAATGGGTTAAAGCTCAAAACAACCTCCACATAATGTGAATGAGTTCCACACCAATTAGAGTTTTTTACTAGAACTGTACATTCATGCTGAGAATCGTTTAGGAACCTTTATTTTTTGACTGTGTACTTACTATTGTGCAAATTCTGACAGAATGGCCTGCTGAGAGGTGGTACCAGCTGTGGTGTTAACTCATGGAAATGTGTTAGGGACAAGTTTGAACAAAATGATTTCCTAATTATGTTAATGTGTAGTTACATCAGAGAATTAAACATGAAGATTCATGACTGACTTCCACTCATGCGCTTTTTTTTTTGACAGGTTTCTTAGAGGAATCTGCACTGCATCTGAGGTTTATTTAATTCCCAATTTGAGAAGGAAAATGTAATACCTTATACACTATTTTGTAAAAATGATTATATTAAAAAAAAAAAACAAAGTTCTTTATATTATATTATAAATACTGTGAATTGATTATACTCCTGATAACTAAAAGGTCATAAACATTATATACCAAAAGTCTGTCTGCTTCAATTTTAATTATTCTCTGTAATATTCAGTACCTTCAGATGAAGAATTGACAGAATGCTTTACATAGAGCAATTATTATCTAGTTTAACTTGAGGTTCTCAAACTCCTCACCTCCTTCTGGTGATACTTCATGGCCAATTTAAGCTTGGCCAGGTCTCGGCACTCTCGCGGATCCAGTTCCTCGCTCTGGTCATCACGGTGGTTGAGGATGGTTTCCAGTTCACGGGAGCTTCGCGCCTGGTCCAGAAGATCTTTGGCAAAGCGTTTACACTGTTGTGAAAGCTCCTCATACTCTTGACGGAATTCATTCTCCACTTTGCTGAGCTCCTTCAATTCCCAGCCCAGTCTAAAAGCAGTGAGGATGGGGTCCTCACTGGAGAGGGCAATGAGTGACGGACTGGCCAAGGCTTTGTAGATGTTGAGGCGGGAACGGGAGTGACGCAGGCTGTCCACCTCAGAGCTGGACACACACTCCACACAGTCACAGCGGATCTGGTGTGGTCTGGGAATGGTGACTTTGTGCTGGACCAACAGCTTAATGATCTCATAATTGTTAGTGTGGGCAGCAAGCATGATGGGAGTGATGTCAGGCGTGAACTCTGAAAACTGGGCATCCATCATTAAAGAGGGTACCTGAGGGAGAGGGAAGAGCAAGAGTAAGAACGGAGAGATGTACAAATTTACAACTTTTGATACTCAGGTAAAACAAATTATCAGCATGCCCAAGAGTACAACTAAAAAACATACTGTACTATTCAAAATTAGCCAAGGCATTTTAGGAACTATGGATTAAAGTGGTAGATTCAGATGATAAGAAAACTTGAGTTAATGAGCTAGCATTAGAGTTAAGAGGAGAGCTAATGCTAGAGTTAAGACTATAAACATTAGAGCTAACAGTAGAGCTAACTAAATCTAGCAGAAGACATCAGGTGGTGAGGGGGAAGGAGGACTTGTCTCATACATAAGGTCTTTTCTCTTCATATGCTAACATGTTAGTTTGTTGAGTGCAGAATTAAGTATTAAGTATTAAATATCTTTTGACTGTTTCAAGTTCTAGCTAACATCAGCTGTCATACGTAGCCTAGATACAGAGATACAGTCATATGACCTCTTTCATTCATATCCCTGGCAACATAACAGCTCACGTTACAGCACTTGTGTTTTACAGCAGCAATACAATTTTTTTAATGTTGCATTTGCTCTGATAGTCTTTTTCTGCAGGCCCTCTACTAGCAATATATATTTAATTAACAATCAAATAAAATATTTTATATTTCCCTATAACTGTTAGATTAACAAGGACACTGCTCTCTGTGTTGAGCTGCGAGTGAGTAATAATGGGTGAAACGGGAGGGGTGAGAATCAAATGTTGTGGAAAAAATTAACTTTACAGCTACTGTGAAAAAAAGAGGTTAAAACGTAAAACTGGTGTTTCACTGAAATGTTGACCTCTATATTTTCTCACTGACTTACCATGGTCCAGCAAATAAATTCCTAAGTAGCAATTTCAGTATTTACTGGCATCTGAAACAGCTACCTGGCACACCCTTAAATTGGACAGTTCATGACCAGCAATTTCTATGACTAGGGCTGAGATTTTACCGCAATTTACTGCACAACAAATTCATTGTACAAGAGAGAGAAAAACTGTGAGATCACACTGCAATGTCCAGGGCAGCTCTTTAATATGCATTTGATAAATAAATAGTAAATAAAAAGTGAATTTGAAAGGAAGATCATATTCTTTATGAATATATCTGCTCAAAGTATAAACAGAAAGCGCTCCTGAAAACAATGCTGCAGTGAAGGATAAAAAACAGATGTGACTTCTGACTAGAATGATGGGAGAAAGGAGTGTGAGAGAGAGCGGGAGAGTTGAGAGAGCAAGAGACGAGGAAGATGATGGAGGACAGACTTCTCTGACTTGATCCCACATGTTACTGGAGAACTGACTGTATTGTGTGTTGCTTTTATATTGCTCTTTTTTCTAACTTCCTATTTACTTGGTTGAAATATTGAAGTGTCCCATCTCAAAATCCCCTTTACTGACATAAAGAAATATCAAATGCTCTTTAACAGTAGCAGACAATGAAGGCAAAAATGTTACTTTTAGTTCAAGCTAAGGGCATCAGCAATCAATAAAACTATTGCTGTACATGCAGTATTGGAATTAATTATTTCTGTGCCTCTATTACTTTTGTCAAACACAAACATATGCACCATTGACTGGGGAAATATTTGATTTCAATGAGGAATTTTATTTTATTGTATTTTTTTTTATGATACATTGACCCCCCCCTTATGTGCAGTTAAACAAATACCCAGTCATTAAATCAACAGATAATCAAAAATTTAAATTCAGAATGCACATCCCAAAAAGCCATCCTCTTATAATCAAAGACTAAATGTACATTAGGATTAAAACATGATCACACTGATCATAAAAAGAGGAAATATCTATGAGATAAGCCAGTGTCTAAATGTTGAAAGTCTGGAGGAGATCAAAGGGCTTTGCATCATACGCAAAATAAGAAGTATGAACATATGGGAGTTTTACAAGCAATTTAGAGGTTCAAGTAGAGGTTGGCAGTTCACCATGTCAGTTTTAGATTATGAGATTTAGGACTGTATATGGTGGTAGACTTATTGAAGTGATTTGTACATGCTATAAAATATGTATAATTCATATATTTTGATATTTAAAGATATAAAATACGTACAGCAGTGTCTCAAGACCATAAACTATTGGAGCTATTTTGCCAGAACAGTCAATGAGCTTTATATGTTTTATTTTTGCAAATAATCAACAATATTTGTCTGATGTAAAATTATGTTTGGTTAAATGTTTGTACTGAATTTGTGTATTTAAAACAGAAAACTGCAGTACCACCATGGCGCACTGGGAGGCCGCAGCCTCCAGGTTAAAAACCAGTGTTGTACATGTTTATATGAAATCTATTGCTTGAGAATCTAATTGATCTTTTTCAGGATGGCTAATACTTAACTGAGCATTATTCGTTTGTTGATGTTCATTTGCTCACACAGGTTCACACATCCCTGAGAGCAGATTGTAAAGTTGTTATTACTATTTTTTCATTTAATAATAAAAACTGATGCAGTTTAGTTTATGTTCATTTGACTTTAGATGGTGAATCTGAATACATTTTAAAAAAGAAAGGAGCAGAGAATAACCTCACCGCTGCTTTCAGTTACAATGCAGTTTGACCAAGACTATATATATAAAATGAAAATTAAGAATGTTTTAGGCTAAATATCTGAAGAAAAAAAAAAACAATCTGATCTCCGTCTTGCCTCAGTCACTATATCCAAATCGGGTGACTTGTGTGGGAATTGTTCCAGAACTTTAAAGGCCTTTTTAGATGTTTTTTGACAAACTCTAATCTGATCTTCCTGTTTTTGAGGCTTACCAATGGTTTACATTTTGAGACAAAGCCCCTGTATTTACTCTGGTGAAGTCTTCTCTCGATTGTTGACTCTGACACAAATACGCCTACCTCCTGGAGGGTGTTCTTGATCTGGCCAACTGTTGTGAGGTTTTCTTCTTCACCAGGAAAAGAAAATAGGTGAAAATGGTTGTAATTCCTTCACCCTTTACCCGATTTAGATGTAACTACCCTCAAATTAAAGCTGAAAATCTGTACTTTCAGCTCATATCAAACAGTTTGCCTAATGGACAGTTGCATTTTTTAAATTTAATATAAACAAACCAATTTACTTTTGTACACAACAGGACCAAATACTCACCAGCAGTGAGGCATTCTAGAAACATGCTTTGTAACATGGATCTATGAACAGTAAGCAGTTAGGCAGGCAAGGTTTGCAAGCGCATTTTATTTTGAGATTTATTAGCAGTCCATTAGTACAACCGTCCTCCCCTCAGAACTCCCATGTGGCTGCAACAGTTGCTATAGTGATAGTAATGAAAAGTATACAAGGCTGTGAGAGCTTACATGAACGCTCCAGTTTAGGCCTCATAGTATTTTTACACGACTAAATCTGTTTAGAGAGATTGCACAAACTGAAGCATCTAAACCCTTTTCTTCTCACACAAACCAAACAAACACTCATTTATCCACTATCATGACCACTGAAAAACAATTTCTATTCTCAATCTGCAGACAGGTACTACGGAAGTCTGAATTTACCTAACATGAAATTGTCCGATTTGATTTTGTGTCATTATTTTATGAAGCCTGCAAAGTACATGTACACTGTATTTTGAATCCTGTGCATGCATTGTTTCATATCAATGTATTTGTTTAGTTTGTAAAGTGTGAGCTTTGGGTAAAGAGAAAACATTTCTGTCTTTCTTGCCTGCTGCTTTACCTTGACTAATAAAATTCCAAAATTCCATTGGCCTACCCCTAACAGGTACAACTGCACCCTGCCTTTGGAGAGAAAGAAAATATTAATCTTGGTAATATAATGTAATGTAACCAAATGACAAAATGCTAACTTAAAATAATAAATTAATCACACAATTCCTGGGATTATGTTGTTCTCATGCTTCAATAATGTTTTTTGCCTCAATTCATAACTTATAGATTTGGCCATCTAATAGGTTGGCATGGGATAATGAACAAAGAACAGACAGGACAAGGTTCATAAAAAGGGATGAATATAGTCAATATAATTATTGGTAATGGCACACTAATGTTTTCAGAATACATAAAAGAAAGTACAACTTCAGTCACTCTCTGATATTAGATAATCCTCAACATCAGATCGCACCCCTTGAAAGGAAACATGGAATCAGACAAATACTTATAAGGTACTTCAAAGAACATCTGGGTTCTTCAAAGCACTTTAAGTGTCTTAAAGGACCTTCAAACTCTTAAACACCTAGTTTATTACCTAGATTAGTCTGCCCGTACATCTATTCTCTCATAAATAAAAAGAGTAATTTAAGATAATGTGTGGGCTCATCAAAACATAGCAGCTGTTAACACAATGATCTAACCTAAATGAGATGAACCCACTTGAACTTGGGTTTTTTGTTTGTTGTGAGATGTATACTAGACTGCTCCAGACTTTGAGTTTTTTTGACAAAAAACACATTTCACATGTGTGAGTGTGGGACTTTTGTGAAAGGTAAAAAAATATACCTGTTCCTTTAAATATGGATCTTATGTGTTCACACTTGGCAATCCAATCATAGGTACGCAGCACTACGTATAGATGTTTACACCTGGCAATATCTATGTGTCTTCGATGTGTCTCCAGGCACCACACAGATTTTGCAACTGCAGGAACAGTACTGTGCACATTTACTACATCTCATTATTACTCTCAATACATTTGCTGTGAGACACATGTACTGTGAGTCCTTGTTAGTGCAAATGTATAGGCTGTTAAACACTGTTGGATCACATTGATTGCAAACACATCTTGAAGCGGTGGAGACGAAGAAAGAAACTACACAGATGCTTCATTGTTGCCAGGGCTGCATTAGGATATTCATACTCACGTTTTGTGGTCATATGTGTTCTTGACCCCTCCAAAGGTGATTTGAATGACTGGATCACAATCCTCGTTAACATGTGGCATTAACATGCAGGTGGTATAATCATAAGTGTCCTACACTCAGTACAGGTATGAATGAGGTACAATGTGTCTTGGATTGTGAACTAATCACCAAACCACCTTAGTGTAAACACTTAAGCGCCTCAATGTGTTCTTGGCAGTGCCGAATGACCACTTTAATAAGAGATGAAAGCAGCTGAGTTGCTTATTTTTTCATCTCCTCTCCTACTTGTTTACAAGTTGCATTAACAATCTTTGTGGTCTAAAGGTTTGTATTAGCCCATACATTCACACAAACAATGATTCATAGGACTTTTGTCTAACAACAAATGCAACAGGAGACTTACATAGTAAATATGTACAATACCCTATAACCAGTCATGATCTCTAATCACATGATTACTGGAGATGCTTTCGAAACACAGGGAAATCCCAGACGTGAGCAGTTATACATCTCATTGTCCACGTATGACCAAATTCCTCAAGATAGATGTAAATAACTGTTGTTAACTGTCAACAGGGCCATAGTGCATCTCCAAGACACATTGGGTCCCGTTCACAACTGTGCTTAGTAAGGATGTACATAGGCACTTGAGTGTTTGATTAAGCATTTGAGCTGCCAGTATTAGAATTCTGAAATCACTATTCAGTTATTCATCCCATTTCATCTCAAGAAGACAGAGAAAACAGCTCAGTCAAATGACATTTTTGTGTTTTAAGAATACAGTAAAATATGGCGAGACTGTTCATATATGCAAGTAAGTACATTATATTACACTTTGCTACTATGACAAACTAACATGTTGGCACCTCGTCCACCGGTAATAAGGCAATGAGTCCTTATCAGCACCCAGTGTTGTACCGGTTACCTGTAACTTTAGCTCGCAGGCTCATCTGAAGAGGAAGCTTCTCTTGGTCATCCAAAATGAAAACCTACCAATTTATCACAGTTATTTAGTGAATCACCAGTGCTTTGACCTATAAGGCAAGACTGTAGCTCTACACCAATTATAGCCAAAGTCCATTTGTTTAATTTGGTCCATTTAGAATGCGCACCCCTAGCCGACTTATGTTTGGATCAACCAGGACATGTGTTAATTCTAAGTCTGAACAGGGCCCGAGAGGAAAACCTACTTTTCTTTTTGTTTCGTACTTCTACCCACTTTTGATGTTTAGATTAGCGCCTGTAAAACCCTTAATGAAATATATATGAAAAAGAAGACACCAGCAAAATCTATATGAAAAAGTGCCTCCAGCAAATTGTGTTCATTTCAGGATGCCCCCTAGTCATTAAGCTAAGGAGTCTAAATGTATAATAATCTTTTAACAGCAGGAAGTCACATGTCAAAATATAAATAGGCGATTTTGAAATGTAGCACATACTTTTCAATTCAATTTCAATTCAGAAAAGTAAGGAATGTTGCAGTGAGAACAATTCTTGGTTAATCTGGCCACTGGATGAAAGGGAAAGATTGCAAGATAACATAATCCAGTGCAATCCAATCAACTAGAGATTTGTCGTATTATGTAAGGACAAAAGGGTGAAATTTGACAAACCACCTCCACCTCATTTCTCTCTCTCCTACTTCTTTTAACATTCACATATATACACACCTGTTTTTCTCCGCTTGGTCTTCTGTGAGATAACAGCAACTCCACCGCTCCCACCACTTCTTTGCGAATGGCATAGAGCAGAGCGTCTCCAGTGTTCACTCCGTGGTCCAACAGCAGCTCCATCACCTCCAGGTTCTCATTTTCTATGGCAATAAGCAGGGCACTGCGGCCCAGTGGATCCACACAGTTTACATCTATGTTGTAATATACCTCTGCTTCCTGTAGCGCATGCTTGACCCCGGCATAGTCTCCCTTCTCTACAGCCGACAGGAATGACCGTTCCTCCTGAGAGAGCTCCACCTCCGCCCGGACGATGTGCAGAGGGATCCGGTCCCGATATGGAGAGTAACTGGATTTTTTGTAATAGAGATGGGACATAGGATTCATGATGGATTCTAAAGGAGAGAGAAAGAAAGAAGAAAAAAAGAGTGTGAGAGAAGACATTGTGATGATCAGTTCATAGTTCATAAAATTTCCATTTAATTGACCAACAGACTTTACAACAAGCTTCAAATTTGACTTTGTCCTAAACACACTACACACAAGAAAGCATGCAAAAAACAGTTTGTATCTGTCATGTCAAAACATTGTGACCTCACTTAAAACAATGGCAAAAATGAGTTTCAGGCAAAACCTTATCTCAAAACTATCATAAAACAACGTCTCAGGCATCAGGCATCATGCTCAGAGCTCAGTAAGGTAAGTCTTAGGAAAATTACACACTTAGGATGTCTGGTTCTGATCTGCAAACAATTTTGACTTTCAATTTTGAAAGTTGTGATTCATTCTGAGTCAAGTTTCTTTCATCTTCTTATCTTAGCAATCTAATTATGTTGAATTTTTGAAAAATTGGTGAAATTGTTCTTTTAGGATGATTTAGAATGTTTTGGAGATTGCTACATTACCTACATTACATTAGCCTCTCAGAAAGAACAAAAGGACAAAATTTTCCTCCTACTAGCCATTTTGTGGGTTAAATGAACACACTATCAACAAATCACTGAAATTTTGCGCAACTGTTTTTTTGCACTCTTGATGTCTTTGCATCAAATGTGTGGTGCTGCTGTAGTAATCAAAAAATTATGCGCGCCATTTTTAATAAGCTCTAAATGCTTAATATGTTGCTGTGCAAAACCCATGTAACACTTAAAACTGTCCCTGGAATCTGGGCTTTCAGTTTATATCACACCACAACGGCAGTGGATCTGTCTGACTTCAAGGCTGCATTCGAGTCACTCAATAAACCTTCTTTTCCTATCTGCTTTCCTTGCCTAGGCCTGACCTGTAGCTTATGGTATCACTAAATATACTGACAGAGCTGACTAGCATGTAGATCCTCATGGCTACCAGACCAGGTGAAATCAAGGCAAGCAGATAGGAAAGGAAGTCTGAAAAATTTGGCAGCCCAAAATATTCATGTTTGCTTAAATTTCACAATGCATGAGACAGAAAGGTATACCACTCTCATCTGTTATGTTTCGTAATAAAAATGTCATGACAGTATGTCTACATTATAAAATCAGTGTAATTTAATACTGATGTCAAGACAATGTGAGTCGATAACAGTAACAATAACACCAACACATTTTATTGATGAGCTAAATGTGATTATCAATGGTTATATAAAGTGTTTGAATTGACCAAAAAATTGACTTAAATATACAATACATTAGTGTAATTAAAGGTCTGTATACAGAATACCATAATATTAGAATAACTTTGTCCATGATAGTATTTTCAAATACTGAAAAAACTGTCAACCTATCTGTCTATAATGGAGTTTTGCTGCCATTCAGAGAGACAACTCTAAAAACTTCTTTTTTTCAGTTGCAGGATGCTGTAAAAGATTTTTCCCAGACCACAAAAAACAGGCAACATCATAACATCGACCCCTAGGGATGCAGGAGTGTGTTCAATTTATTTTCAAAATTTAGTGTATTTTATAGGCAGGTTTTAAGTCATATTTATTGTCTTAAATTCAGTATTTGTTTTTTAAATGCAGTTTATAGCAAAAAACAAAAAAAATGTAGGAATAGTGCATAGTATGAAGCAATTTATAAATATCAATTGACTAGGTGTTTTTTTAGGGCCCTTATCCAAAGTAATCCTTCTGAGCAAGTCACATCAGTTCATAAAAACAATTATGGAAAGTGGTTACTGACAAAATCTAATCATGATCTACAGTTAGTGCTTCTAAATCACATCCTGGTCTCCTCCATTCAATTTGCTAATATGTAAAAATCAGGTAAGCACATCATTTTAGTCTAATGATACCCTGACAAGTAATGCACTGAATTTACTTGATTATAATGCGTACATTCCCGTGAATAAAATATTATATCACCGGAGTTCTTGCCAAAATAAAGGACAAAATAGCCTTGATGTGTTTTATTAATGTGGAAATTATTTCTACATTAATTGTTTTTTCAGTGTAACAAATGTAGTAGAACCTGCACTATTTGTAGTTTACGGGATGGACTATACTTTATTATTAAGCATTATTTTGGAAGTTTTGTACTTTACTCTGGTATTATTGAAACTGAACACTTGTACTCAATTACACAATTACATTTTCAAGAACAAAAAACATACTTTTCCTCTTTACATTTTCATGTACACCTTAAAACTACAAATCTCAAATGCTGAAAGATTTTTTCCTTTTTTTCTTCCAGGTTCCGAGGTATTTTAAATTATTTTTAAATTTAAAAATCCAGTAATATTCAGTCACTGTAATGAAACTGCCTAACTATATATACTAATTCTTTGCATGGCGAGTACCACCCAGTCACCCCATCACATACCACCTACTATGCCCCAATTCTTATTGCAAGTATAGATTCCTTGACATATACCTGTACTCACTACAAGCTGCTTGTGCTTTATTAACCAATTTGACTTGGTGACTTACGACATTCATTCAAACACATTTTTCCCCCCATAGGAATGAGTACCCACCTAAAATACTACAGTAACAGCCTAGCAACACCTTAACAACCACCAAGCAAAGCCATAACAACAAGCAGGAATACCATTGCAACCACATAGCAACACCATAGCAGCGACCTGGAATTACTATAAGAACTCAATTAAGTTATCAAATACAACCAATAGTGTACTGCAACTGCTTTAACTTTTGAAGTTCTGTTAGCTGGCTTTCCCTTTCTGATTTTATTTTGCTGTTGTATCTCACTCCATTGCTGCTCTTATTTAGTGCTAATTACAATTCATGTCTTGGTTATGACAGAATCATCATTTTAATGGACAAGGTTCTATTTAGCCACACAGACTGGAGCAGGAGCACTGAATGCTTTATGATCAGTATTAAAGTATAAAAACGACAGAAGTAAAGTAAAAGGGTATTCTCAGTATGAGAGTAATTTGTATTTTTTTAATTAAAAGGAAACAGCGCTGTATATTTTCTGACAATCCAGTAAGACAGGACTTTCAGATTCTAATACATTTAACAAAATTCATTAAAACACTCAGCACACTGAGTACACACAGAGAGAACTTGTAATTAGTGAGAGTTATTAGAGGTTGATGAGGGATCTTGCTTTGATCTCATTTTGCCTGAAAGAGAAGATGAACACACATACAAACACACCAGGTGTTGTCCTCCATATGGTTCCTCTTCATCTCACTTCTCCTCTTCAGTAATAGAACCAACACTTGCAACTTTTAAACTGATACATGGCCAAACATTAACATAAGTGGCATTAATATTAGAATAAATTAGTCCAGTCTCTTTAATCCTGAAACTAACCATAACCTGAACTTGAACCCTAGCCTAACCTTAACCTTGATACTAGGCCTAACTCAAGTTGTAAACATTAACATGCCCTAACCAAAACAGTAAGCATAAGCCCAATCCTAAACATAATTTACTAAGAAACTATTCTTTCAATTTATGTTTAATCTTGGGCTGTCAGTATTGATTATATTAATGTTGAAGTATTCTACCAATTATTTTGACAATCCAATAATTTGAGATTTTTTTTAAAAGGCCAAACAGTAAAAGTGAGCTTAACAAACCATACATAGTCTTTCAAAGACTCCAAAACAAAGTCACCAGAACACATTCAAACTCATTAAACCCCTCAGTGACCCCCTGTGGCCTGTGGACGGGGGCACTGTCATCCTGAAAGAGAACACTCCCATGAGAACAGAAATAATTTATTACAGGACAAAAATGATTTGCTGTAACTTTTCCCTCTAAGGGGACAAGTATACCTAAACCATGCTAGCAAACTGCCTCTACAAGATAACAGAGCCACCAGATCCCCTCACTATAAGGGTTAAGCATTCGGGCCTGTACCAATCTCTTCTGTTCACTACACATGCACTTGCCCACTTATGGAAAATATGGTGATGGATTACTTGTCTGGTCCTATTACTTTTTTCCACATCTCTGTACATTCATCTTTGTAATGAGGGGTTTATGCACTGCAGCCTTACTATAAAATCCCTCTTTACATACAGACTGTTCTTGCTAATATCCTGCATGACATTCTCAGTCACCTGAGGAACACTTGCTCTGCTTTTCCTTAGATAATAATCGCAGTAACGCATGAGCATCACAATCACTGAATGCGCTCAACCACAATTCCAGTCCTACTTACAGTTGTCTTTGCCACAGATCTAAATGATGTCACCTTCATTACTGTTTCTATTGAAACACTAGCCGGTTGAGCAATCTTTGTGACTCAAGCTCTTGCCATCCATGCTCAAGTAATGAATATGGGTGACAACTTTAAGGAAAAAACTGAATAAATGAGTAGAGAAATATCTTGAGTGCAAAAGCTTCCAGACAGGTGATAAAATTGACAACCTAACATGCTCTGTGGCATGCATAAAAATGCTGAGCAGGCCTAGCTGACCTGAGTTTTGGATCAAGATAATAAGAGGATCCAAAGAGGATTCAACAGGAACAATGACTAAATTTCACATCTATGTGTATACATATATACAAAATAAGACTCAAGATTTTTGGTCGAAATGTTCATTCAGCGACCATGCTGCTCATGCATTAGAAAGATATGTAAAGCAACACCTCCTCAGGTGAAAACTGCAAAAACACAATTTAACTTTACAATGGTGATAATGTCATTTTTACATGGAAGTCTATTCAACTAGTGAAACATATGTTATTACCACATGAATGGATGGGGTGTTCTTGAAGTTATAAAGGTTTATAATTTGCCTACACAGGTCATTGTGTTGTCTTCCACCAAAACTCTTTTACTCATCTCCTCATTGTCTATGATGATATACCATACATGCATGAAACATACAGATTTTAGAATACATTATTATCATATTCACACTTCTCAAGGGCCTCTATTAGAGAGATAATTAGAAAATTAACAGAAATATGGGCATATTTAAAC